GCTAAAATTTTTTAAAGCACACAAATTATGTTCACCAGAGTGTAAGCTATTATGTTAAGTTATTATTAGATGAATTTGGGGGGTTATTGTACTGGATTGATTGTGCCTTCAGAAATTCAGGTCCACTTGGAAGTTGTGTAGATGATCTGATGTGGAAACAGAGACTTCGCAAGAATAAGGAAGTTAAGATGAGATTGGTTGCATACATTAAAGCAATTTTCCACTCATCGTTATTTAATAGCAGGTCACCTATAATGTGCAATTTAAAATAATTTGGCCTTTGATATGAGCATCATATCTAGACTTTTGCAACAATGTTCATAATTAATCTTGAACATGTTCATGGTATATTACTCAATTTCATGACTTTGATCATAAATAAATTAATATGGTGTACACTGAGTTTAACACCCTGGCATGCTCTGATAGTTTCTTTCTTCAATACCCTCCATTTTTTAACTCTCTTTTACTGTAGTAATCTGATACTTTGAATAATTTTATGTCTTCCAAAGAAACAGCAAAAAACCTTAAAATTTTTATCAGAAAGTGTTTAGCATTTTAAGATCACTAAATAATCCCAATTTACATTTAGTATGAACATTTTTATGCAGTTTATGGAGCCCTGTATTAAGTAAGTCTGAAACTAATAATGTGATGGAGTAATTACAGGTGTCTTTCAGATCAAATAGCAAGTAACAAGGTGATGCTGTTGAAAAACATTCTTTGCACTGGACTTAGGGAGGGACTCTGAGATTTTCATAACATGTAGAATTCTCATTCTACTCTCTAAGAATAAAACCTACTTGAAGAGTTGTCTTTGTCATCTCTGTTTACTTAGAACCTAATACTGAACTCAGCATGTAAGCATTCAAACATAATTACTGAATGAATAAATGATTATGATTATAATCATGGTCAAGTTTTTAATGTTATAAATCAGTGAAAATATGTAAAATCTTCAAGGTAAATTCTGACATCTTTTATGATATAGAAAGTTGAATTGAGACCTCAGGTCATTCTAAAGCATTACAGTAATTATTAATTTTTCCCTAAAATAGAAAAACCTACTCTTCTTACAGTTTACTCTATTGTTACTTACAGACTACTAATCTCTATTACTCCCATTCTTTAGTTTCTTCTCCTTGGAAAATTAAAGATTATTATAAAGATATAAATCTTTCCATATATTCTTCTGCTGTGAGTTCAAGCCACTACAATATTGTCTATTCTAAATTATGTGATAATTTGGACTACTATTTAGCACTTGGTATCTTGAGAACACCAATCTCCATTGTGCCTTTTGTTTATTCATTCAATGAATTCCCCTGAGTTCTTTGTAAGTAGATCAGATAAACTTATGGCTAGCCTGAATAACACAGCATCCATACAGAAGATCATGGCACCTTATCCATCAGGCTATGAAAGAAACTTCATTAGCCTTCATTTCAACTGTACCTTGCTTCATTTCAAGTATCTACATACACTTCTTTAAGTGGCATAGGTAATATAATCTGGGACACACAATTTATTTGGATTAATGTATAGAAATGGGTTGATACATGTCCTTCTTGTAAACATTGTAGAATGTCTCTTGAATTGTCTTTGTAATCAATACTTTGTGTATTTGGTTGCAAATATAAGATGACAGAGGAGAGACTGATTGCAAAGCTCCTGAAAAATACCAAAGAACTTATGTTTAGATAGCTTAATAAGGCATTACATTGACTAAATTGGTCACAATTACCAAAAGAGTAAGCATTTTTTCAGAAATATAATTTTTGCTTTGTTTTATACAAGCAATTTCAATTATACATATTTTGTATAAATAAAATAAAGGCACATAATTTCTATGAAATAGATAATAAATAAATAAAAATTTAAATACTGCCAATCAATAGCTTCATGAAACATTTTTATCCATTACAGCCTAACAATTTTATGATTGATAGGACTGCATGATTTTTGAAGTTCTTGTATATATATATCAGCTTATCATAATTTGTACTATAATCAATGTCAGGAAGCCATGGCATCATTTTTGTGGTAAGCTTTAATCACTTGGATGCACTATATGTTTTAGTTCTGCACATTGTGAATGTTATACATAGTGAATATTAGTACCAATGATATAAAAGCAAAAGACAAAAACCTGCATAAGATACAGCCACAAGGACAGCAAATACTGGAATGTGGGAATGTATCCTTCCCAGAAATTTTATAAGTAAAAATTGGTGTAAACTCATTCACCTATTCAGCTAGTTGGCTAATCATGACAAAATGTTATTTTGTTCAATAGCGCTGAAACCTATAAAAACTATAGAAAACAAATGAGTTAAGCAAGTGGCCTGAATACTTTAAAATTTTAAAGAATGATCTAAGAGTACAAAATACTCAAAGCTTTTAAATTACTTTAATCATGAACAAATTTTTTGTAACATCAAGAGTAATATATGCAAAACATGGGGAAAAAGAAAATAATCTTTTTCAATCTCAAAATTTACCATGAGTGTTGAACTATTCCCATTCAAAATCCATAAAAAAGAAAATAATGCTATGGAGAACTGCTGTATCATTTTGAATATAAGACAAGTAGGAACACTGGAGCACTTGCACTTTACAAAAATAAAATTACAACCAGAGATTGTAAACTGTGCATCAGAGATTCTGGCGCTTGAAGATCATGAATTCAAAGTCAGTCTGGGCTCTGTAGACATTGTCTCAAGTACAAAATAAAATGATGTCCTTTTTGTAAGTACTGCTTTCTATATCAGAGTTTTTTATATATCGAGGTCATGATATATAGGTGATAAATTAAAATATATTCAAGGCAATATGCACAATATTAAAAAAGACTCTTCTAACTAATAGGTAATGGTATCAAAGCACAAACATTGGAGTTAGATTGGGGCTACCCTCCCATATATTGGGCATGTCTGTATATGATTATCAGGAACTCATTACTCAGGACCACTGAGCTGACTTTGCAGATTGTAAAAGTTTGAGTGGAGGAAGAGAAAGGCATGTTTTAAATGTTGAAAAATTTTGAAGTAAAGCAAAATCTAAAAAATACAAATCTTTTCAATGTTGTACACATTCTCAAGTATTTTATTCAAAAGGTTTTAATCTCAGTTTTAACCTTTTTTATTATTTTTAAGAAAATATGTTGAAATATGCAGAAGACATTTACTCCAAAATACATGAAAGCACAATAAAAGAAATAAAGGAATAACTAACATAAAAGGTAACAAACGACAGTTTTTAAAACTATTTTGTTTTGATGTACTACAGAATCATTTCTCTCTAAAAACAAAAGGCACCAATGATTTTTAAAAATTAGTGTTTTAACCATGTTTCTTCATTATATATGCTTAGTTTGTGCAATTATGTTTTGATATATGTCTATATGATGAAATTATTACTGAAGCAAGAAAACCAGCCTATCTCCTTCCAATTATCATTTTTTCTTTGGTGGTGAGAGCAGCGAAAAATCTACTCTCTAAGCAAGTTTTCAGCATATAACATAACATTATTAACTACAGCCCTCATGCTATACATTAGATCTCTAGATTTGTGTACCATATATAATTGCAAGTTTCTATCCTTGAAGATACTGGGGTATATATAGTATATCACAGTATATATAGCATATCATTTACCTATTAAACTAGTTAGCTAATCATGAGAAAACATTACTCTGTTCTAGCACTGACACCTATAAAAACTACAAAAAACAAATGAGACATTATAGATTTAGACAAGTTGTCTAAATACTTAAAAATGTTTTTTAATTATCTTAGAGGACAGCCTATCCAAATCTTTTAAAATAACTTTAAACATGATATAAGATAATATGTATAAATCATATAAATGTAACATAGTCTATATAACAATTGCTAAGCTATGGAAATAGCCAAGATGCCCCACTATTGATGAATGGATAAGAAAGTGTAGTCTTTACATACAATGGAATTTTATTGAGCCACAAAGAATAATGAAATTTTGTTGTTTGCAGGTAGATGGACGGAACTGGATAACATCATGGTAAGTGAAGTTAGCCAGGCTCAGAAGGCCAAAAGCCACATGTTCTCTCTCATATATGAAATATAGACCTAATACAGATACAGCAGTATTATGAAACCTGGTCACACTAAGGCGAGGTCATATATAACAAGGGGAGGGTAAAAGAAGGTAACTAAGAAGGTAAACATGGTTCATATATTCTCCATACAAGAATGAATATAGAATTCTTAAACTGGCTGAAACCAGCAGAAGAAACAGACTAAGGTAGAATGAAGAAAAATAGAGGAGACGAACCAATTAGGGTTATAATACATCTATAGATGAAATAATCACAAGGAAACTCCGTGTAGCTACCTTTATGTCAAACAAGTAAAAATGTCATTTATTTTATTTTTTTATTTTTTCTTCTACAAAATTGGAGAAGGAAAGGGCAGAACAGATCCTAACCAAGGGAATGGGCACCAATGGGAAGGGGGAAGTGGTGGGGAAAGGGAGTAGGGGGATGAATTCAGTGTATATAATGTGTACACATGTATGTAAAAGCAAAAATGATACCTGTTGAAACCATTCCAAGAATAGGGGGAGGGAGGATAAAGGAAAACAGTGAAGGGGTGAATTCAAGTATGATATATTTGATACAATGTAAGAACTTTTGTAAATGCCACAATGTACCCCCACCTAGCACAACAATAAAAAATAAATAAGTAAAAAAGAAAAAATCATACAAAAAGTAATATTATGTTATATATGTAACCATATATGTTAATTATACATGATGTGATGTATATACGATATTTTGTATACACACACATTATATACCATATATATACATACATATGTAGAATGAACCTGTAGCACAGTAGGCTAAGTAAAATAAGCCAGAAACAGAAAAAATATTTTAATGACATTTTTTATTATATTGATTTTTTTGTTTCTTTATCTGGCAGCTAAAATGTAGAAAGGCTTTATAAACAGAAATTATGAGAAATTCTACAGCGTTAACAGATTTTATTCTTCTTGGACTGACAAACGACCCACAGTGGCAGGTTGTACTTTTCACTTTTCTTCTTGCTACCTACATGCTCAGTGTGACTGGGAACCTGACCATTATCATCCTCACCCTTTCAGATCCCCATCTGCAGACTCCCATGTATTTCTTCCTTCGGAGCTTCTCATTCCTAGAACTAGCATTCACATCTGTCTGTATTCCTAGATTCCTTGTCACTATTGTGACAGGAGACAGAACCATTTCCTACAATGGCTGTGTGGCTCAGCTATTTTTTTTCATCTTCTTGGGAGTTACAGAATTTTACCTTCTGGCCACCATGTCCTATGATCGCTACATGGCCATCTGCAAGCCTCTTCATTACACAACCATCATGAGCAGCAGAGTCTGTATTCTTCTAGTCTTTAGCTCATGGCTTATGGGATTCCTGATTATCTTCCACCAATCATCCTTCTGCTGCAGTTAGATTTCTGTGCTCTCAGTATAATTGATCATTTTATCTGTGACTCTTCTCCGATTCTGCAGCTTTCGTGCACAAACACAAGCTTTCTGGACTCATGGCATTTTTCTTAGCCATAGTAACCCTCATGGTTACCTTCACATTAGTTATTCTCTCCTATACAAATATCATCTGCACAATTCTGAGAATTCCTTCTATCAAGGGAAAAAGGCCTTTTCCACTTCCTCCTCCCATATGATAGTTGTCTCCCTTTCTTATGGTAGCTGCATCTTCATGTACATCAAGCCTTCAGCAAGAGAGAGGGTGACTTTAAGCAAAGGAGTAGCAGTACTCAACACCTCAGTGGCTCCTCTCCTGAACCCTTTTATATACACGCTGAGGAATCAGCAAGTGGAGCAAGCCTTCAAGAACATGGTCCAGAGGAAGGTCTTGTCTTCAAATAAATGAGCATGCTTATGTGAAATGTGGATCCCTAAAGACAAATCTGAATGAAAACTACATGAACTCTTTCAAAACACCTCATTTCATTCCTTTAGCTAGATATATTTATTTAACACCAACACCTAATAATTAGCCTAAAACCTAGCTATTAACTATTTTAAGTTATATAGAAAGTGTTTGACTTCACACCTTTATATTTTATGGAAATCAATAATCTCCATTGCTTCTCATATCAAAGCAAGGTAGATTATAAAATCACCCACAAGATAGATTGCTATAAATTAATGAGCTTATGAAACCACATTCAAATATATAATTTAATTTATGACATACATAAATTATGTGTTATACTATCTTTAAAATTTCTTATGACCAAGAGATACATGTTATAATGCTAAAATATTATTAAAATGTCTCCTTGAATTTATCAGTTAAATGTAATAGAATCTATGCAAACTTTAAAAAGAAGTGTATGATAAAATGTGCTTCCAAAAATATCTCTGTTGTTTGAATTGATTCTGTATTGATTCTTGTATTTATTTTCTGAGGAGAATAGAATGTAAGTAATGTTGCAGAGGAAAGAAGAAATTTACCTTATATTTTCCTTCTGTTAATACTCCTAAAAATAGACTATTTAACTGAAAATTTCCTATTACTGACAATCATATTTTACATGGAAACCTTGTTATCCTGAATTAGTATTCACATGCTTTCAAATGGTACAAAATTGTCTTTCCTACTGACATGATGAAGAAAATGGCAAAGAATAAAAGATGGTATGATACTGACTCTAGCCTATCCTGAAAATGATGATATACAATCATCAATGTCTTCATCCTCTTCTATTAGTAAACATGTAATACTCTCTTTATTTTACTCTCATCTCTTCCACAGAAGTTTTGTTTCTCTCACTCATATTCAGGAAACGAACTTTTGCAGATAGTTGAGAACTATAAAAAATGTATTCAAGCATATGTCCTATATTTAATGGGTCCCTCAATTAAACTTATCATTAAGAAAATAGGTTGTCTTATGACAGTAGCTATGAGCATAACTAGACACAGGTTGATTGATTTTTGTTCCTTGATTTCCATCTTGGTATTATACACAGGTTAGTATAAAGAGCTCAATATATTTCCTATGTCCACACCAGAAATACTTTTCTCATGGACTAGAGTGTCCTTAAGCACTCACATATTTATTACCATTGTGCTTCCATGGAATGGATTACATTTTTTCCAAGCAGATGCTAATGTACTGTTATTACAAAACAAAAATTAAATTTCACTTGTATTTGATTATGAATTCTTTGTTGACGCAATTTGTAAAGAAACTGAGCAGTGTAAGATTGCTTTTATAAGACTATAACAAGTAAGCAGAAATGCAAAAGTGAAAATCATGAGTGTGGAAAACCAGAATACAAATGTTAAGTAAATGCAGAAAAACTATTGTTAGTTAGATGACAGATTAAAAATAAAGAGTAAAAATTGATAAAACTCCTAAAAAATAAAAAAAGTGAATTAAGAGAAAAGTAATTTTAAAATAATAAAAGAAACAAAAAGGGAAAATGAGAAAGAAGTAAAAACATAAAGACATCAAATAGAATATGAAAAAATATAACAAATGAATTGATGGAGGAAAGAATCTCAGCTAAACAGTCCTAGTTAAGTTGCTCAGAAATGCTTCTCTCAGCATCTTCTACATTTTAAATTTGCTGGGTACAGAAAGAGATAACTGGTTGTCACTGCAGTTTGTTGCAATTCCTTTCAGCTCTTGCCACAGGAGTTGGTTTGGAATGAAGGCTGTGCAGGTCACTACTCACTCAGCAGGTTAAGGCAGAACATTTGCATACCAGGTGTGTATTCTCTGCAGAGGTTTTTAGTCTGCTCACCCAAGGACACAGCCAATCACAGAGCTGCAGCAAGCCTTTCTTACAGACTGAGATTGGGTTGTGTGTAGACTATGGTGGGCATATATTCTTTAGAAAGTTTTTAGTCAGTGCATCTGGGGGCATGACAAATGTCAAATCTGCATTACAGAAATCTGAGCCTTCAACCTTATTCAGTTTTCACCAATTGTCTCTAAATTTTCCTTTATAGAAAAAAGACACAGAATTATATGATGTTTCTGAATGATTAGATTGGGTTCATTAACCTTGGCAGAAATATCACAGAAGTGTGGCTGTCTTCTCATTCAACTCTATCAGGCATCACATCAGACTAGTTCATTTTTCATCACTAATGATGTTTTCTTTGATTTATTTTTTAAGGTAGCAATTTATAGGCTTCTCCACAATACCAGTGTCTGTAATCTTTATAATTAATGAGTATTTTGATATTCTTAATGATAATTATCTCAATCCTTATAAACTTTTGATTTATAGATTATCTTTCATTATTGAATCAGAGTTCCCAATTTTATTTACCACTATAATTACTGATTTTTATGCTAAATTGTACAGTGTAAATGGGAAAGGGAAAATTAATGGGCTTTCAATGAATAAACTTCAGTTTAGATACTGATTTCATTTGACCCTTATAATTCTTTTTTTTTCTTTCATTTTTCTTTTATTATTCATATGTGCATACAAGGCTTGGTTCATTTCTCCCCCCTACCCCCACCCCCTCCCTTACCACCCACTCCGACCCCTCCCTCTCCCCCCCCCCGTCAATACCCAGCAGAAACTATTTTGCCCTTATTTCTAATTTTGTTGTAGAGAGAGTATAAGCAATAATAGGAAGGAACAGGGGTTTTCGCTGGTTGAGATAAGGATAGCTATACAGGGCATTGACTCACATTGATTTCCTGTGCGTGGGTGTTACCTTCTAGGTTAATTCTTTTTGATCTAACCTTTTCTCTAGTATCTGTTCCCCTTTTCCTATTGGCCTCAGTTGCTTTAAGGTATCTGCTTTAGTTTCTCTGCGTTAAGGGCAACAAATGCTAGCTAGTTTTTTAGGTGTCTTACCTATCCTCACCCCTCCCTTGTGTGCTCTCGCTTTTATCATGTGCTCATAGTCCAATCCCCTTGTTGTGTTTGCCCTTGATCTAATGTCCACATATGAGGGAGAACATACGATTTTTGGTCTTTTGGGCCAGGCTAACCTCACTCAGAATGATGTTCTCCAATTCCATCCATTTACCAGCGAATGATAACATTTCGTTCTTCTCCATGGCTGCATAAAATTCCATTGTGTATAGATACCACATTTTCTTAATCCATTCATCAGTGCTGGGGCATCTTGGCTGTTTCCATAACTTGGCTATTGTGAATAGTGCCGCAATAAACATGGATGTGCAGGTGCCTCTGGAGTAACAGTCTTTTGGGTATATCCCCAAGAGTGGTATTGCTGGATCAAATGGTAGATCGATGTCCAGCTTTTTAAGTAGCCTCCAAATTTTTTTCCAGAGTGGTTGTACTAGTCTACATTCCCACCAACAGTGTAAGAGGGTTCCTTTTTCCCCGCATCCTCGCCAACACCTGTTGTGGTGGTGTTGCTGATGATGGCTATTCTAACAGGGGTGAGGTGGAATCTTAGTGTGGTTTTAATTTGCATTTCCTTTATTGCTAGAGATGGTGACCATTTTTTCATGTGTTTTCTGGCCATTTGAATTTCTTCTTTTCAGAAAGTTCTATTTAGTTCACATGCCCATTTCTTTATTGGTTCATTAGTATATCAGTCCTTTGTCTGATGTATAGTTGGCAAATATTTTCTCCCACTCTGTGGGTGTTCTCTTCAGTTTAGAGACCATTTCTTTTGATGAACAGAAGCTTTTTAGTTTTATGAGGTCCCATTTATCTATGCTATCTCTTAGTTGCTGTGCTGCTGGGGTTTCATTGAGAAAGTTCTTACCTATACCTATTAACTCCAGAGTATTTCCTACTCTTTCTTGTATCAACTTTAGAGTTTGTGGTCTGATATTAAGATCCTTGATCCATTTTGAGTTAATCTTGGTATAGGGTGATATACATGGATCTAGTTTCAGTTTTTTGCAGACTGCTAACCAGTTTTCCCAGCAGTTTTTGTTGAAGAGGCTGCTATTTCTCCATCGTATATTTTTAGCTCCTTTGTCAAAGATAAGTTGCTTATAGTTGTGTGGCTTCATATCTGGTCCTCTATTCTGTTCCACTGGTCTTCATGTCTGTTTTTGTGCCAGTACCATGCTGTTTTTATTGTTATTGCTTTGTAATATAGTTTGAAGTCAGGTATTGTGATACCTCCTGCATTGTTCTTTTGACTGAGTATTGCCTTGGCTATTCGTGGCCTCTTGTGTTTCCATATAAATTTAACAGTAGATTTTTCAATCTCTTTAATGAATGTCATTGGAATTTTGATGGGAATTGCATTAAACATGTAGATTACTTTGGGAGTATGACATTTTTACTATGTTGATTCTACCAATCCATGAGCATGGGAGATCTCTCCACTTTCTATAGTCTTCCTCAATCTCTTTCTTCAGAAGTGTATAGTTTTCCTTGTAGAGGTCTTTCACATCTTTTGTTAGGTTTACACCTAGGTATTTGATTTTTTTTGAGGCTATTGTAAATGGAATTGTTTTCATACATTCTTTTTCCAGTTTGCTCATTGTTAGTGTATAGAAATGCTAATGATTTTTCTATGTTGATTTTATATCCTGCTACCTTGCTATAGCTATTGATGATGTCTAGAAGCTTCTGAGTAGAGTTTTTTGGGTCTTTAAGGTATAGGATCATGTCATCTGCAAATAGGGATATTTTGACAGTTTCTTTACCTATTTGTATTCCTTTTATTCCTTCTTCTTGCCTAATTGCTCTGGCTAGGAATTCCAGTACTATGTTGAATAGGAGTGGAGATAGTGGGCATCCTTGTCTGGTTCCTGATTTTAGAGGGAATGGTTTAATTTTTCTCCGTTAAGTATAATGCTGGCTGTAGGTTTGTCATATATAGCTTTTATAATGTTGAGGAACTTTCCTTCTATTCCTAGTTTTCTTAGAGCTTTTATCATGAAATGTGTTGGATCTTATCAAA